TTAGTTTCGTTTATTTTATTTTTTTATTTTCATCTATTTTTTTTTATTTTTTTTTTTTCATTTTTTTTTCTTTTTTACTTTTATTTATTTTTATTGTTTTTTTACTTTTGGTTCGTGCTTTGTCTTAGATTCATCTCTTTTATCAGTGCTGCTGTTGCTGCTGCTGCTGCTGTTGTTGCTGCTGTTGCTGCTGTTGCTGTTGTTGCTGCTGCTGCTGTTGCTGCTGTTGCTGTTGCTGCTGCTCTGTTTGCATGCATTTCTTTGTGTGTTCTATAGTATTTACTTTTGAATATATAAATTTACATTTCTTTTTATTTTTTTTTTTATTTTATCTCATATATAAATATAATATTATTTTTATATATATTTTTTTTTTATATGAACAAAAACAGCCCCAAAAACCGTGACTCTACCAAAAAAAAAAAAATTTTTTTTATTTTTTTTTATTTTTTTTTTATTTTTTTTTATTTTTTTTTCTGCTGCAGACGTTTACCTCGTCACCCGCATGTAGTTTCTGTTCTTGATGTATATGAAGACAGAAAAAGTTTATATATGCTGATGGAGCTCTGCGACCAAAATTCTCTCGTTGATAGAGTTGTTAATGAAGGAGCTTTCACTGAAGAACTCGCAAAAATTCTCTTTGCTCAAGTATGATATGCATGCATGCATGCATGCATGTGTGCATGCATGCATGCGTTTGTGTGTGTACGTATGCATGCATGCATGCATGCATGCGTTCATGTTTGTATTTGTGTATATATGCATGCATGCATGCATGTGTGTTTGCATGTATGCGTGTATGTGTGTATGTATGTGCCTATGTGTATATATCTATGTATGGATTTATGGATTTATGTATGTGTGGGGTGAAGTGTTGCGGGGCTTGCATGCATGCATGCATGCATGCATTCGTGCATGCATGCATGCAAGTTTTGTTGTGGGGCTGTTGGCTCAAGATTCAGCAAGGCGCTAAACATTGCATGCACTGGCCGCAGCAACAGCAGCAGCAGCAGCAGCTGTTGCTGCTCCTGCTGCTGCTGCTGGTTTGAGGTGTTGCACAAGTCTTCGCCTACATGTTCAGTATCTGTTTTTATATTATTTTATTTTATTTTATTTTATTTTTTGTTTTTTTTTTCTGCTGCAGCTGGTGTCAGGCGTGATGCATTGCCACAACAACAACATTGTCCACCGAGATTTAAAACCCGAAAACATTTTGTTTTCTCGCGATCCCAGCTCCAGCAGCTGCAGCAGCAGCAGCGCAGCAGCAGCAGCAGCAGCAGCAGCAGCTGCAGCAGCAGCAGCAGCAGATTCTCCTGACTATTGGCCCTCTTCTTCTCTCTCTGCTGCAGAAGCTCCTTACCCTCACTCCTTCCAGCAGCAGTACAGCACACAAAAAACAATTAGCAGCGCGCATGCAGGGGGGCCCCCAGGGGGCCCCCCAGGGGGGCCCCCAGGGGGGCCCCCCTTCGTTGTCAAGATTACAGACTTTGGCTCTGCCTGCTATGCCGTACCCGGGGAGCTCAGCGGCACCGCTTGCGGCACTATTCATTATGTAAGCAGCAGCAGCAGCAGCAGCAGCAGGAACAGCAGCAGGAACAGCAACAGCAGCAGCAGCAGCAGCAGCAACAGCAGCAGCAGCAGCAGCAGCAGCAGCAGCAGCGTAGGTGTAGGCTTTAGTTGCTGTTTTTGCGTGAGCAGCTAGACATATGATTAAGTACATGTTGCTGCATTTTCTGTTGGTAGTAGTGTTTGTGTTGTTGCTGCTGTTTATTATAATAGTTTATTTTCTCCCTTTGCTGCTGCTGCTTTTGCTGCTGTTCTTTTCATTTCTTCTGCTTATATACTGTTGCTGCTGCTGCTGTTGCTGCTGCCACTCCTGCTGCTGCTCCTGCTACTCCTCCTCCTCCTCCTCCTCCTCCCCCTGCTGCTGCTCCTGCTGCTGCTGCTGCTGCTGCTGCTGGTGCTGCTGCTGCAGCTGGCTCCCGAGGTGTTAGCTGGAAACTACTACGATGGTTTCTTGAGTGATGTGTGGAGCCTTGGCGTCATCCTATATATCACCGTCTCAGCAACACCGCCTTTCTATGGCGAGTCAGATGCAGAGGTTGTACAGCGTATTGTTGCGGGTTAGATATAAATAAAATAAATAAAATAAATAAAATAAATAAAATAAATGAAAAAATTAATTAAAAATGATGTGTTTATGTGTTTATATGTTTCTTTTATGTATACACTGTCTCAGCAACACCGCCTTACTATGGCGAGTCAGATGCAGAGGTTGTACAGCGTATTGTTGCGGGTTAGATATAAATAAATAAATAAATAAATAAATAAAATAAATAAAATAAATAAAATAAATTAAAAAAATAATTAAAAAGCATGTGTTTATGTTCTATATTTGTATATATACACCGTCTCAGCAACACCGCCTTTCTATGGCCAGTCAGATGCACAAGTTGTACAGCCTATTGTTGCGGGTTAGATATACTTTTATTTATTTATTTATTTATTTATTTATTTATTTATTTATTTATTTATTTATGTTTATATGTTTATATATATATTATATATGTTATATATATATATATACATGAATAAATATAAATAGATGCAGAAGTTGTACAGTGCATCGTCACCGGTTAGATACAAACTCTATCTCTGTATATATATA